TGAGAGGAAATGTCTGAAAGCGTTCTGATACCTTGCTCGGCTGTGATCCCGGAGACAAAGCAAACTCAGACACCTTCTGAAGGTGAAGCTTGTTGGCGATAGTTTCTACACAATAAAACACGTTATTGTTTAAAGTATCTGTCATGATATCTGACATTTACTTCATCTAAAAATCAGTACTTTATTTTACTAATTATTATTATAATTTTTTATCATAATTGCAAACTACATAGAATGGCTGTGCTACTAATATTCATTTATCTTATCATACAGGATTCATTAAGAGAATAGTTCACCCCAAAATGACAATTTACTCAACCTCGTGTGGAGAAATGTAGCATTGCATCACTTGCTCAGCAATGGATGCTCTGCAGTGAATGGGGGCCGTCAGAATGAGAGGCCAAACAGCTGATAAAAACATCACAATAATCCACACCACTCCAGTCCAGCAGATAATGTCTTGTGAAGCCAAAAGACTCTCATTGTTTGGACTCTCATTCTGACGGCACCCATTCACTGCAGAGCATCCATTGGTGAGAAAGTGATGCAATGCTACATTTCTCCAAATCTGATGAAGAAACAAACTCATCTACATCTTGGCCATCCAAGATGTAGATGAGTTTGTTTCTTCATCAGATTTGGAGAAATGTAGCATTGCATCACTTGCTCACCAATGGATGCTCTGCAGTGAATGGGTGCCGTCAGAATGAGAGTCCAAACAATGAGAGTCTTTTGGCTTCACAAGACATTATCTGCTGGACTGGAGTGGTGTGGATTATTGTGATGTTTTTATCAGTTGTTTGGACTCTCATTCTGACGGCACCCATTCACTGCAGAGCATCCATTGGTGAGAAAGTGATGCAATGCTACATTTCTCCAAATCTGATGAAGAAACAAACTCATCTACATCTTGGATGGCCTGAGAGTGAGCACATTTTCAGCAAATTTTCATTTTTGGGAACTGCTCCTTTAGTACAAACAACAACAAAAATCTAACTACTAAAATTGTGAGAAATCTAAAAGAAATATTGAGCACAGACACTTTCCTTTATACATTCATATAAATTTTGAACTACTAAAAAAATGAAATGTCAATGTTATTTATCAACTTGTTTCCACCCAGTTTAAATATAACATGTGCAAAAGAACACCGTGTTACCAAAGTTGTTGTTCTCAAAGAAGTGAAGTTCATTATTGACATTTCTAACAGTAATGCTTTCATCATCTGCCCAGCTCGGACACCTGTGAAAATACAGACAACGAGCGTGTCTTACAATTACAGACAGATCATGAATAAACTGACAGTAATCAAACTAATTCTGCATTCCATTAACATTATTACTAGTCCCTCACCATCCCGTAACCTTCTTCTGATAGAATGCTTTAATGCAGGCACCGGTCTGCAAGTCCAGCAGCTGCAGGTTTGCCTCTCCCTGAGGGTTATCCTGCGTTTCTGAAAAATAAAAACTGTTGCTGGTGGTTTCGAAAGGCAGTAAAGTGCATTTGAGTTCGGAGTGTTTTTAGCACATTACTATGCATTTGCTAAGGTGTCCTGGCTGGTTGCTTACTTAGGTGACATTTGGGCTGTTCCTATATTTATTATAAAGCTAGAATGTCATAGAAAATCTTCCTATCATATATTAAAAGCTCTTACTGGTATATTGCTGCCAGGTGGCCAGAACTTTATTCAGAGGTGAGAATTCCAGTGCGGTGGTTTTGGGTAACTCAAAAGACTTCACCAAATCTCCAGTGGAAACTTGGAGCACACTGACCCTATCAAACACACACAGGACAGTTATTAATCAAAAGGTGAGTTGACAACCCGAAAAACATCATTAAATGTGTTTTCTAATTCATTCTTTGAATTCTCTGATGACTTTTTCAATCAAGTACATGCAATCAGCATTGCAGACTGTACACTTTATTTCATGACCCCATGTTTAAAGGGACCAAGTGCAGACTGATTTCAAAACAAAAGTATTTTTAAGTCACGCGTTAGCTTTAACTAGTGTTGTAATATTGGGTTAATAATAAAGGGAAATGTCTGCATACTTTAGTTTATTGACATTTGGAGTTGCATGCATGCATGAGCACCTTATGCATTGGTGATGTGCTCTAACCATCATGCACTTTAATTTAAGACGGCGTAAAATCTCATGCACATGCAGTTTGTTCTTTTGTTTTCTTCTGATGAACGTGCACGGAAACTGAGCAACCTCAAAAAACGAATAAAATATGAGCAGATAATAGGAATTCTTTACCATTAATATATAATATAATATTTTGTTCTAATGTTGTTTTTCTGTCCTCTCACGACAGCGATATTCCAGATCATTCAGAGCATCAGGATGGGAATGTGAAATGAACGGTCATCGGCGTTGTACATCAGTTTGCTCTTTGCTTCTGAAGATCGCTTGATCGATCCTCTTTTCTTATTTAATCTGTCTTTTTCACCACAACACCACAGTCTCTTGTGCCTTACTCAAAAGCTGGAGGAACATTATCTTTGGGGAATTCTGTCAATATTGCTGCTGAATCCTAGGCAATAAAATACAAATGACTCTTTGAATTTTTTCTGTGGAAAAAAAAAACACGTTTGTTTAAGTGAAATGCTGCATTGAATTTTTCTATGTTCTAGATTTTGGACCAGTTCATGTTAAAGTGCCCCTATTATGGATTTTTGAAAATGACCTTTCATGCAGTGTGTAACACAGCTCTAAGTGAATGAAAACAACTCGCAAAGTTTTAAATCTAAAAGTGCACCGTGCAAAGAGTCGACTCTGAATCACTGAACCGAGTCGTTTTTTAAAACAATTCCCAAGCCGTTTCACGTTGACGTCAACATGAAACATTAGCATATCGCCCGCACACTTGTTGGTCTTTTTGGTTGGTCTGAATGAAAATGCAAATTCATTCTTTGTCACTAGGTGCCGGTGTTGGAGCAGTAAAAATAGCGGCTTCCCCGGTAACGCTGTACACAAAGCGGCACTGCGCTCACAAACGCTGCTTTATCAGGCATCACAGGCATAATGAAATGAAAATGAGACCAATCGAACCAATCACCGCAGATTAGCATCATGCAGAGGAGGGGTTTAGAAAAATGAATCGTTGAGCGAATTGTTTGGGAGTCGTTGAGCAAGTAAGGTAAAAACAAATGCACATTATAAGACCACGAAATAGTTTTTTGACCTTGCATGCATGTCAACCTGTTTTTGGGGACTCTCAAAACCAAAATATGAACCTTTCATAACCCATAATAGGGGCACTTTAATTGTTATCATTATTTGGTACTATGCACCTTTATTGGATTTTCCTCTACATTTAGAGCTGAATGTGTGTTCTCTGACTGTTCGCTCAAGGAAATGAAGGTCCACATATTCAGTTGTATGTGTAGAGAACATGAAAAATAAAAAAAAGACTTGTCTAAAATGTCTCTTTTTTTGTCTTTGTAAAAATAAAGCCAGTTTTCAACTGTTGGTCCATGGACTCGTATAAAACCCATCATTAAACAAATGTAAATCTCTATAATGTGGTAATGGTTGTTTATAATAATGTTTTTTTAATTAAAATAATACAGTGAAATAATACAATTATTAATGGTTAAATTTTTTAATTAAAAATAATTAGTTTAGGGGTTTTTGAGTTGACAACCCAATTCTCAGTTTTATAAAATGACCAGTAGGGGGCATTTGCATATTTATATATTTAAATTACATGATAGGTCAATGCATTTTTCATTACATGTCTTTTATATGTCATTCACTCCCTTCTGCAAGAGTTGATCAAGTATAACCGCAAAACCAATATTTTTTTCTTTGCTTCATGTTATTTGAGTCATATAAACAAACTTTTGAATCATGCATTCAACATTTGAATCATATAAACAAACTTTAAATTAAGATTTGGATGCACTTATGCCGTAGTTTTATCTCAGCTCAAGCGTTGACATTTATTTACCATGCCATTTTCCTACATAAAAATAAATTATGTACACCTCTATTTATTAGATATTAAAAATGTATTAAAATAAATAAATAACATTTATTTATTCAACTTAAAATCTTTTTTTTAACAAAAATATGCATATTTGTCAGCTACCTTCATATGCATGCATTTATGTATTTAATGCAAGCATAAATGTACTGGCTGGCATTTTTATATAGTTTGTTTTATTGTTTGTTATATATTCATGGCTATATTTTTTCATTGTGTTTGTGTGTAAAACAATAAAAAATATAGCTATTAATAAAAAAAAGTAATAAATTGCCTAATAATAAATACACGGAAAGATTAATAAGCAGAGGAAAGTAAATTAAACCCCAATTCCTATTACTTGTTTCACTTCTGTTTCAGTTTAATAACCATTTCTTACTATGTGTAAGTAAGTTGTTGTTTTTTAGCATGTGTGTTTGGCAGTGTTATATTTTAGGATTACTGATAAACTACTGTCGTTTGATTTGTATTAGTTATTTATTTTAATTTGAGTTAAATTATGTCTGTGTAGGTCTTTTTATTAAGTTTTAGTTTTATTTAATTTGAGTTATTTGAATACTTCAACAAACTAAATGGAAATGAAATAATATATATGTATTGGATTTATAAATGTGTGTACATATACAGTATATATGCACGTGTGTGTGGCTGTACATTCACACATGTAGTTGTTTTTTGGCTTATGTTAGAATCATTATTATACTCATACCTTTTGTACTTTAATATTTTGAATTGTTTTTAGCTTTATTTTTTGTTTTTCATTTAAATGTTAAGTTTCGACATCGTTGTTGTATGCATTTGTCATTTTTATTAAATTTTTTATTTTTAAAATGTGTATAGGTAGTATTTATAAAGTTTTAGCTTTTAGTTTTGGATCTGTTTTTAGTTGTTTTAATACTACAACTGATTGCTTCTGTTGTCCTCATTTGGATGAAAGCGTCTGCTAAATGACTAAATAAATAAAATAAATAAATTCACATTTTTATTGTCTGCCTCTGGTTGCTCGGGCTCCGTTACGTCCCGGTCTGCCCTCTGCGCATGCGCACTGCCGCTGTCGGCGCTCGTGTGGGGCCCGTGAGGATCCAGCGGGAGTGTTAGCTGTGTAATGGCGGCCTCGGTGTTGCTCTCCGCGGAAAGCGCCGTGCCCTCTTTTACCGTCGGCCATCCCTCCGCAGCGGCTGCGGCGGGAACCACTCATCACGGATTATCCAATGCTCCCGGACCCGCGTCCTGGAACCGCTCGCTGGACCGGGCGCTGGACGAGGCGGCGGCCACCGGAGCGCTCACCCTCAGCGGCAGGAAGCTGAAGGAGTTCCCGAGGAGCGCCGCCGGACACGACCTGACCGACACCACCCGGGCCGGTACCGAGCCAAATCTTTACATTCTGTTCCCCTTCAACCGTTAACTCACCCGCAAGCTACATTAAAGCCGCAGCGGGCGAGTTTTACACTAGTTTACACGGTGTTTGATGGTGTAAACACGCGGGTGTGTGCTGGGCTGGAAGCCCGTCTGAACTCATGATCAGTCATTTGTGTCCAATAAATGTGAACGTTTTGTCTAAAGTTGAGATTAACTTTCAGGTCATGGTTGATGTTAATGGGACACTTGAGGAGCATGCGTCAGATATCTGTCAAATTCAGCTCCGTGTGCGTTACGTTAGTTTATGAGCTGTTTTGTTTGACATGTTTTGATCGTCTTGTTGACTTCATAAGGTCTGTTTATGAGGTTTTGAGGTATGCAGTCATATTAAAGGGTTTCATCTTTAAAGGGCTAGTTCACTTCCAAAATATCAATTTCCTGGTAATTTAATTTCAGGTACTCACCCCCATGCCATCCAAGATGTTCGATGTCTTTCTTCAGTCGCAGAGAAATTAAGGTTTTTGAGCAAAACATTCCAGGATTTGTCTCCATATAATGGACTTCAATGGGGACCAACGGGCTGAAGGTCCGAAGTGCAGCTTCAAAGGGCTCTGCACGATCCCTGCCGAGGAATACGAGTCTTATTTGGCGGAACCATCTGTCATTTTACTAAAAAATAAAAATGTATATGTAATGTCTTGCACTAGCTGGACTCTACGCATTATATAGTCATGTTGGAAAGGTCACGCGTGACGCAGGCAGACGTACCGACCCAGTGTTTACAAGGAAAACGTGCAAAGAAAGTCAAAAGCCCTTTATAAAAAAAAAAAAGGTGAGTTTTTCACCCAACCCTAACTTTTTAAAGCAGAGCACACAGACTAAGAGCTGTGACTTTTCCAATGTGATCACGGAGTTTGCGGACGCACAACGCGGAGCTAGAGCAAGACATGCATAAAAGTATTTATTGTTATTTTTTTAGTAAAATGACAGATGGTTTTGCTAGATAAGACTCTTATTCCTCGTGCAGAGCCCTTTGAAGCTGCGCTGAAACGGCAATTTAGACCTTCAGCCCGTTGGTTCCCATTGAAGTCCATTATATGGAGAAAAACCTGGAATGTTTTCCTCAAAAACTTAAATTCTTTGCGACTGAAGAAAGAAAGACATGAACATCTTGGATGACATCCAAGATGGTTGCTGGTCATATGAATCGGGGGTTTTATAATCTTTTAGATGCCATGGATCCCCAAACATAATCATCCTCATCCAAGGGACCCCTATCCTAAATTTAAAAGGCTTCTGTATATTTTTTCATGTTTAAAGACACAATTTATTCTGTGAAAAATGAATAATAAATGTGTATATATATATATATACACACACATACATATACACGTGCTGTATTTTATTTTTATAGTAGATGAACAGACGCTTCACTGATTATTCCAATCAATCTATTGCTTTTTAAAGCGCATGTATGTGTATAGTGACTGAGAAGTATATTATTGGTACTATTACTCACTATTCAATTAAAAAAAAAAAATACCTGCCTCTTATGCACATCAAAACGGGACCTACTGTAATCAAGCGAAACTAGTAATGTAGCTTGCTTGTCTGACACGTACAGGTGCAGGCGTTATGGTTTAGGAGTTTCTAGACGTGTTCGGACATGTGATTTTCATTTCATCTCACGAATGACAATCAGAAAAGCAGTGTGTCCTGCATGAGAGCTGTATAAGACCCCATATGTGACCCTGGAGCACAAAAGCAGTGTTAAGTCGCTGGGGTATATTTGTAGAAATAGCCAAAAATACATTGTATGGGTCAAAATTATAGATTTTTTTTTTATGCCAAAAATCATTAGGATATTAAGTAAAGATCATGTTCCATGAAGATATTTTATACATTTCCTACCGTAAATATATTAAAACTGAATTTTTGATTAGTAATATGCGTTGCTAAGAACTTCATTTGGACAACTTTAAAGGTGATTTTCTCAATATTTAGATTTTTTTTGCACCCTCAGATTCCAGATTTTCAAATAGTTGTTTCTTGACCAAATATATCAATGGAAAGCTTATTTATTCAGCTTTCAGATGATGTATAAATCTCAATTTAGAAAAATTTACCCTTATGACTGGTTTTGTGGTCCAGACTCCAGGGTCACATATATTAATACAAAGAGTTATATTTTACGTTGCATAAAACCTCTTTTAATGAGTCGTGTGTACAGTAAAACCAGTCCAGGCTATATAAACATCTGTCTGAAGGTTTTTACGGACTGCTGTATCTTTTAAGTGTTTGCATGAATGGTAAATCCCTAAATGACTACCCAATTGATCGACATGCAGATAGTCAGGTTCATTACTTTTCTTAAAAGTTATGAAAATGTCACAGTGACATCTTTGTGTGTACAGTTGCTTTGTGGTTTTCAGTTCAGTGTAAGTGTTATGGACAAATTGCTGATGTTTGAGAAAATTAAAATTTAATTTAGTTTTATTTGCACAAAGTATATGATGCATAATGTCTCAAATTACCATTGCAAAGGGAAGATAGATGCAGAAAACTGTTTTTAATGTAGATATCAGCTATATAACACAAGGAGCATTGCGTGGAAATTTAGATGCATAACTCACAATAGCATTTTATATTTAATGTTGTAGGGAATAAAGTGGTGTTTCTTAATGAACGTTTCACTATTACTGCTCTTATTTAACAAAGCCTAGGTCTAGTAAGTGTTACCCCGGTTAGCCGCCTTGTATTGTGTTGCACGGTCTGAAGATAGGAAATGGTCATCGTAGCTCAGGACTACAGCTCTGATCCTGAGCATGCTTGGTGTCTTGAGTCTGTGTCAATATTGATCGTCTGTGAAGTGCATGCTGGGATCCACACAGAAAAATCTCTTGATTTCGTTCTCATCCAAAGCCGGTTCACAAAAATACAGACTGTAGGAATGAACGGGAAAAAAATAAAGGAAAGCTTTCAATGCTTTTCAACCCCCAAAATAGTTCTATTGCTTTGCTGTGAGTTTGTTATGGTTTGCTAATGACAGATTGTGAGTGCCATAGCTTTGTTTCTGCCAGAGAGTTTTTGGGTCTTTTTTTAGCGAGGTCATTTTCGGGTGATAATAGCAGTTTAACATTGCCTCTTGATTCTGACGGAGAGGTTTATCTGCTCCTAAAAAAATAAGCTTTATTGTATTCATGCATATTATAATTTATTATTTTCTGTGAAATATGACCTGGCATCACCCTCAGGTTTTTTAACATCTGCTCACGTTATTGTAAAAGTATGTGTGTGTCATGAAATCATGAAACTTGTACAATTTAACATCAGTTTAAAAGTTAAACTACATTTGGGCACCTGAAATGTTTTTTTTTCTCTCACATTCCGTTTCATTTTTACCAAATTCTGTTCCGAGTTCTCCGTAATGGATCCGTATGTGTGCTGGTTTTAGGTAGCAGTCCGTGTAGGAAGCAGACGTTACAGTCAGCAGCACTTCCTGTCTTCCCCATCCCGGATCTCTGCACAGCTGCACAGTTACAAATATAGATCCAGTGTGGATTGGAAAGCCATTAGTCCAACCACACACCTCCACAAACAACATATGCAGGCAGATCGACACACTGGCCGTGAAGCCATGATTACTTTAATTTATGTAAAACACAGATCCAGGCTTGTGAGATTTGCTCTCTTTTTTATTTAGTAAAATAAATAAATAAAATGTAAATGTATTCAGAAAATACAGACAAAATATTTCTTAAATGTATTTAGGAAAAATAGATCATATAAAAAAATAGTTTTTTTTTTTAAACAATTTAAAATAATCTTGAATGTTAATGAATTTATAAAAATATTTTTTTAGACAAAATATTTTTCAAAAGTAAAAATACACATTTTCAATGTTCTTATATTGTTGTTTTTGCTATTAGTATATTCAGAAAATGTCAATATATTCAGAAAATACCACCAAAATCTTTTTTTATCTTTTTAAAAGCTCAGAATTTTTTTTCGATTTAAATGTATTCAGAAAATACAGACAAAGTCTTTTAAAATAGTTCAAATATATATATAGTCTCTAAGTTATGAGACTAAGTCTAAAACAAACCAAATCTGAATATTTAATAATAATTATATTTGAGTAATAACTAAACCAGTGATGAATTTTAAGATCAGATCATTCACAAAACAAACGTTGTCTCTTCATCAGGTTAGAGCAGTCCTGTCCTATGTAATGTAAACCGCACACAGCTAAAATACAACCACACTCGCTCGCACACCATCACAGCTGCCATGTGTTGTGTGAAACGGCTGTAAAATCTTCATCATCTCCTGCGTGACGATTGTCTGATGTCTCTCTATTATTAGAGCCAGAATCTGGTCTGATGTAGAAATGAGCGTTAGAGCAGCAGTGAGGATATACTGGCCTCATTCATATAAGCCAGAACAGAAAAATGGGCACTTATCTCGCTCCTAGTACGGCAGCTATTTTTGGTGGTCATGGGGTCCTGCTCGAAAGTGTGTGTGAGGGTTTGTCCTCTGGGTTTGAAGGCTGAGAATGTTTGTGCATGCTAATACATGAAGAGTCACTGGTTTGGAAAAGTATAGAATTTGAGTAATTTCCAGGTCTTGAAAAGTATGAAAAAAAGAAAGCAAAGTATGGAAAAATATTTGCATTTCCAGACTTTTGCCCCAATTTAGTTTTATTCTAATTAAGAATTTAATGAAAATAAATGTATCATACAAGAGGTGTGTTTTCATGGCGGCTGTTTAGTGATTTTTCAGTGATTGTCAAACATGACTGAATGAATTCAAGGTGCACTTTTTCATGTGAAAACTGAAATGGCCAACAGCCACAGAGGATGTTAAATTGGACATATTAGAGGTATTACCCGAAAAGTATAGAATTTGAGTAATTTCCAGGTCTTGAAAAGTATGAAAAAAAGAAAGCAAAGTATGGAAAAATATTTGCATTTCCAGACTTTTGCCCCAATTTAGTTTTATTCTAATTAAGAATTTAATGAAAATAAATGTATCATACAAGAGGTGTGTTTTCATGGCGGCTGTTTAGTGATTTTTCAGTGATTGTCAAACATGACTGAATGAATTCAAGGTGCACTTTTTCATGTGACAACTGAAATGGCCAACAGCCACAGAGGATGTGTTAAATTGGACATATTAGAGGTATTACCCTAAGAAAAGCCCAATTTTGAGCAAGTAGATCTCCATTAATTCATGTGCATCCATGCTTTAATTTTCTTCATAGTAAGGTTGTGGCAGTGACACACAAACAAAATAGGCTATAGTATATATAAAACTAGAAATTTTAATGTGTAAGCATGCTAAAAATTCCAGTGTGCTTGTGAATAGTTTGTCGAGGGCACAAAAAAGTTCCTTGTGTGCATGCAAAAGTCTGCTTTTTTTTTTTACGGGCATGATTACTTTGTGTAGCAGAACTTTGATCCATGCTTGTGAGATTTGCTCTCTTTTTTTATTTAATAGTTTCTCGAGGGCACAAAAAAGTTATTTGTGTGCATGCAAAAGTCTGCATTTTTTATTTTTTACGGGCTCTGTGTTGTCACTACAGTATATACCAAATATAAAGCTAATATAAATAAAAATAATACTTTATGAACCATTTACATTAAACATGGTCAAAATCTACAGAGAGGTTTGGAAATTTGAGTCTGGAAAAGCATGGAATTTTGAAATGAAAAATGTGTAGGAACCCTGTGCTAAAATCAAAGCAAGATTTCTGGATTAGTTCTGAAAAAGATCCTTAATCTTGATGCATGAGGGACTTTATTTACCCCTACACATGTACTAAATGGTTAAACGGTTTAACTTGGAGTATTGTGGGATTGAAAGTAGTCTGGAACAAGTGAGAAATGTCTCAAAAAGGCAGCAGCCGGACACTGTGTGTATATATGCACCAATAGTGCTATTTCTAGATCGAATTCAGATTTCAGATGCAGCTTTATTTTTTTCTCACATTCCGTTTCATTTTTACTAAATTCTGTTTAAGCTGTAAATGCAACTTAATTATTACATTTAAATTTTTTTGTATTAACTAGTTCATTTTATTATTATTTTTATTATTATATTTTTTAATACAATAATATGGTCCTATGAAATGTTTTTTTTCTTCTGTGTTGTGTATTAAAATTTTTCTGGTTATCAAAGGAAGGCATAAAACATTAATTTAATTAATCCTTTAATCAAATGAAAATTAACCAAACACTTTTCCTTTGCAAACAAAGTGCTGCACAACAGAGGTTTACTATTAAAATTAAAACTTGGTAGACAAAATTGTGCGATTATTCCTTAAAAAAATAAAGTTTTAATAATTGTATTAGTGGTAGTAGACTAGTAGTAGTGAAAACACTGCGTCACAAGTACTTGTATGCGTGAAGTAGATTTATTTGCGCCATTCATTCACACTTTGTAATTTTGATTAATTCACCCAAAATTTGTCAAATTCCATGACATTCTGTCTTATACAGTAAATTCAGTTTTTATGACTGGATTCCATGTTTTCTGCATTGCAGTAATCATAAGACCCTATAAATTAATGTTTTTTGTATAATCTGGGCATGCATTTTCTATTTCAAATTAAAATGTAAAGAGTTTGTGTATGTGCACGTGTGCATGCAAATACAGCGAGCGTTACTTGGATTTATGCATTGTCATTTGAGCATGCATTTTGTATTTCAAATTAAATGTGACAACTGTAATAACTAATCATGCATATATGATATTTCATTGACTGTTTTGAAAGCAATCATAGATCATAATACAACCACAACCATGTACATAAGACAAGTACACTTGACTTCTGCATACGCAGTGCTGTGTGAACCCTCAAAAGGGATCAATCACTTGTTCTTCCTGGCTGTCAGTAGATGACTGGACAAACCTGGATAATATGCGTGCAATAGAAATTTCTTTCTCTTTTTTTTCTCCATGCAGACTTGAATCAGATCCCCATTTTACCATCTGTAGCAGATGATGAGTTCATGATGATCAGCAACTTCTGAAAGATCACATACTTCAGATCGCTGTCCTTCATTATTTTTTTTATTTATTTGTGTCGTATGAAGTATTACACAAAAAGGTAGAAATAGGCTTATAAATGGATGTACTTTAGGTCACAGGTGTTGTGATTAGCCAGTTTGATGAGACTTAATATTTCCTGCTTCCAATATCAGCCAATTCAGATCAATTACAGCAAAAAAAAATAAAAAATTGTTTTTTTTAATATATATATATATATATATATATATGTAATAAACATTTTGGCTGATGCTGTTATATTTGTATAATTTCCTTGACCTGCAGGAAAGTAGAACAAATGTTTAGAGGGTTTTCAGAGACTGTGTTTCCAGCACATTGGTCCAAACACACTTTTACATGAGCAAAACCAAAGACAGGTGTGCAGCAGACCTGGATGCCAGACATGCGTTTCTCATTGTCTCTTTCTCTCTGTTATCTGTCCTCTCAGATCTATCACGAAACAGGTTGATGGAGCTGCCGGTGGAGGTGTGCATGTTTGTGTCGCTGGAGAATTTGAACCTGTACCAGAACTGCCTGCGTTCACTACCAGAGAGTCTGATCAACCTACAGTCCCTCACCTACCTAAACATCAGGTCACATCCACAGACACAGCATTCATAACATAACGTGCAAATACATTATGTAAAATATTGGTATTGAACCATTTAATTGTTACCACAGATAAACGTCAGTTCTGGAGATATGAAAAACATTGATTGGATTTGTTCGGTTAAAAAAAATTTCAATTGACAATCCATTTGTTCTTATAATTCATGATTTGATTTTGAGATTCAAACCATCTATTATTATGCATTTCCAAAAAAGATTCCAACCGTCTGACAATTAACTCATTGTAGATGACTTAGTAACTCACCAAAACCATATTTGACTCGGTTGCTGTGCAGCAAGTGTTAATTAGTGGTGTTTACTAAAGCAAGCATCACTAGTGCTGTTGCTTAGGCTTAAGGTTAGGTATTTGCACTGTCTTGCACTGTTTGTGTTTCAGACATAATGACACCTCATATTGTTTGGCTTTTTAGACGTGCATGAGGTGTGTTATTACTGTAAGTGATCCGACTCACGAAATTCGCCTGGAAGATGACGAACAAAAAACGAGCAAAAAAATCACACAGCCTTACATTGAAGGCCATATCTAGAGAAGAGAATCTAATTGAGATTTAGAGATGTGGGCATCTTTGGCTTAGTCAAGTAAGAAGCCACTTAGTGTTATTTTATTGTATTTTAGTATTATTTATTATTATTCTAGCATTAATTAATATTTTGAGCTTTTGAGCTGTTATTTTTAAATGTCCAATTTTCATTTTAAATTCAAGGTTTTTGTCATTTTTATTAGTTTTTGTGTTAATATCTCTATTTAGGTTTTAGTCATTTTAATACTTTTGATTTCAGCTTGTTTACAAAGCAACATTTCTAATTTCCATTTAATTTTTCCATCTGATTATTTAGATTTTCTTAGATTTAATTTTTTCTTATTTTAGCTAATTTTTTAGTTAACAATAACAACACTGTTATCAACATAGAGAATGTAGCAACATCTCTAAAAATATAAAAAATAAAATCCAAACTATTAAATATTATAAAAAATACAAATAAAATATTTTCATCTAATATTTAGTTTTTTTTTTCAATTAATTTTAATAGTTTTAGTTTATATTTTCATTACATTTACATTTATTCATTTACCAGACACTTTTATCCAAAGCGACTTACAAATGAGGACAATGGAAGCAAGCAAAATCAACAAAAGAGCAACAATATGCAAGTGCTATAACAAGTCTCAGTTAGCTTAACGCAGTACACGTAGCAAGGATTTTTTTAAAAATTATATAGTAAATAAAAAGAAAACAGAATAGAGCAAGCTAGTGTTAAAGGTCTTTTTTGCTTTTGTTAATTGTATAATAAATAAAAATAAAACGAATAGAATACAAAAAGATTAGAAAAGCTAGTGTGTTTTTTTAAGAAAACAAGCAATAAATGAATAGAGTGCAAGTTTTTTTTTTTTTTAGAATAGAGTGCTAGAATAGTGCTAGTTTACAATAACACCGTTAGCAACATAAACCATTCAGAACTCTCTAGTAACCGCTTTGCCCTTTGCAACCACCTTTATTATTAATCATTCAAGTGAAAGTGCCACTCACATTTATTTAAATGTAGTCATTGGACTCTGCGGTTTCTTATTCCCTTGGTTGTCATTTTCTCTCTGCAGTCGGAACCAGTTGTCCACTCTCCCCGCTCATCTGTGCCGACTGCCGCTCAAAGTTCTGATCGCCTGCAATAACAAGCTGGTGTCGCTGCCGGAGGATCTGGGCAAACTCAGACAGCTCACTGAACTGGTGTGTGGACCAGCGCTAGTCTCACTAGTTTTCTCTCACTAGTGCACTTTACTCATCAATTCTCTCTCTCTGTCTCTGTCTTCAAGGATGTCAGCTGTAATGAGATCCAGACGCTTCCTCCACAGATCGGTCAGCTGGAAGCTCTGCGTGACCTCAACATCCGCAGAAACCACCTCGTTCGTCTGCCTCCTGGTCAGAACCGCACACACCTGCACCTGTATGAAATGAGTGACCTTTTCTTTGTAGATGTGCTTGTGTCATTTCTGTGTTGATCGGTTTGCAGAGTTGGCCGAGCTGCCGTTGGTCCGGCTTGATTTTTCCTGTAATAAGGTAACGACAATCCCAGTATGCTACCGCAATCTCCGACACCTCCAGAGCATCATTCTGGACAACAATCCTCTCCAGAGCCCACCTGCACAGGTAACACACGTTCCTGTTTTGATCTACACTGAAGAAATAGGTCATTTTATGAAAGTAAAAAGATTTTCGAATTATATTTCAGTGCTTGTTTAAAAGTTAGGAGCATCTCTGTGAGGTTACACATTCTGAGGACCATCTTTATTGACGTGTTTCTGCATCTTCTTCTAGATCTGTATAAAGGGAAAGATCCATATATTTAAATATCTCAACATGGAGGCGTGTAAAGCAGCATCAGACCTTCCAGACTACGACAGAAGACCACTGCCCTACGGATCCTAGTAAGAACTCACTTCAGTTCACTGGGTTTTGTGAGCATAATGTGTTGCATAATAATAAAGCAACGGCCGTGTCTCTCAGAGGACACGCAGAGCAGGGCGATTCTGCAGATAAGAAGGGAGGGAAAGGGTGAATGTACAGCGCTCTCTCCCACCTTCAATACCACGGCAAGGTGCCCTTGAGCAAGGCACCAAACCCCCAACTGCTCCCCGGGCGCCGCAGCATAAATGGCTGCCCACTGCTCCGGGTGTGTGTTCACGGTTTGTGTGTGTTCACTGCTGTGTGTGTGCACTTTGGATGGGTAAACGCAGAGCACTAATTCCGAGTATGGGTCACCATACTTGGCCACATGTCACTTCACTTTGTAAGAGCTTATAAAGCAATGGCTGTGTCTCTCAGAGGACACGCAGAGCAGGGCGATTCTGCAGATAAGAAGGAGGGAAAGGAAAAAACACAGACAGAATGAAAGCTTGGATTGATTGGAAGGAAGGTATGAAGACAGGAGAGATTGCAGCAAAACCGGATGACAGTAGATCAGATGATGTAGAGATCAAACTTCTCGAGATTTGACAGATGATATATAGAACTTGAAGACAAGCAGTGTGTACAAATTACAGTACGAAATCTTGAGGAGAGGTTGCTATTACTTTTCTGAGTAATCAGGTTATTTTTTGTGGTAGCGAATAAAATAAAATATAAAACAAAACATTAAAATGTTAATAAAATAAAATAAATTGAAGAAGGGGCCCAAGCCATATGTATAGGCCAGAAAATCAAAAAGACTTAAGATAAAGTAAAATAAAATATAGAATATAAATACAATAATATGTTAATTAAATTCAAAATAATACAATTTAATTAAATAAAAAAATTTAATAAAATTTAAAATTAATTAAATGGGTGAGAAAATGCAACAGACTTGCATTGAAGGAGGGACCCAAGCCATATCAAGAGACCAGAAAAATATATAAATATAAAATATAGAATATAAAATACAATAACATTTGAATAAAATTGAAAAAATAAATAAAATAAGTGAGAAAATACCACAGATTTGCATTGAAGGAGTGACCCAAGTCATATCTAGAGACCAGAAAATCAAAAAATCTTCATATAAACTAAAATAAAATATATAAAAAATAAATAAAATAAAAATAGAATAAAGTATAAAATAATAGTAACAGAAAAATATATAAATATAAAATATAGAATATAAAATACAATAACATTTGAATAAAATTGAAAAAATAAATAAAATAAGTGAGAAAATACCACAGATTTGCATTGAAGGAGTGACCCAAGTCATATCTAGAGACCAGAAAATCAAAAAAATCTTCATATAAACTAAAATAAAATATATAAAAAATAAATAAAAAATAAATAAAATAAAAATAGAATAAAGTATAAAATAATAGTAAATAAAATGAAAATATACCGCAGACTTACATTGAGGGAAGGACTCAAGCAATCTCTAAAAACCAGAAAATCCAATAGACTTGAGTGTGGGCTGTTTTGATTTTGACCAGTAAAAAACCCACAACTCCCTAGCAGCCACATAGCAACGTGTTGGAAAAAAATCCCTCAAAACTCTTCAGCAACTGCATAGCAACACCCTGGCATTGTGGGGGTTTCGCACAGGCGAACCACTCACATTTTATACAGAAACTCTTGTTAAAATTGATGTTGGTGTTAGAAAATAATTTTTTGCAGACTATTTGAATGTGTTTGGTCCTCATGAAACCGCAGATGATGTGATGTTGTTCTCTCTGGTCTGTCTGTTTCTCAGTGCGGAGGATTTGTATTCCGGCCGGCCGTACGGAGCTCTGGACTCTGGCTTTAACAGTGTGGACAGCGGAGACAAGAGGTGGTCGGGAAATGAGGCAAGTGCTATTCAGATCACTCTATCAAGAATCCACTCTATCCATCTGTTATTCTCCATTATCGCTTATTTTATTGTTCTGTTCTTCCTTTTTCCCATCTATCCCTTCTTAAAGCCTTCAGACGAGTTGTCAGACTTGCCGTTGAGAGTGGCGGAGATCACCAAAGAGCAAAGACAGAGACGAGATCGAGAAAGAGAGCGTGAGGATCATCGGACGGGGTCTCACATGACCAATGGCACATGTGAGAGGCTTATGAAACACTACAGTTCAGACTCTAGTGATAAGCCACGAGAAGCTGTCCACTACAGGAATTTACATTTTTCGTTGTCTTTCTAAAGTGGAAGCAGAGCTTGAACAGATAGACTTCATTGACAGCTGTACGGGGGATGATGAGGGGGAGGATAGGCGGAGCCGTAGAGGGGCGGAGCCTGTCAGCCTCAGCTCACAGTTTATGGCCTACATTGAAAGACGAATCACCAGAGAGGTGCGCAATACTGCTTAATGGTTGATCACATCACTTCTAGTCAGATTTAGTTGTTAACACAGGGCTAATGATAGCTTTACTATGTTTCTAGGGTTCACCTGTGAAGACCAGCCCATCCAGAGAATTAAGAACCGATGATCCGAGACACCAAACCGCCTTACATAACCGGTACTGAGCTAATTAAACTTTCATGACAATTACAGTGTATAATGTACTCTCTCCACACTATCATAAACATGTTTTTCACGCTTGTTTCCCACCTGCTTTGATATTTTTTTATTTATTTAAATATGTTTATATATAAATACATATATATATATATATATATGTATATGTATATATTGTGTGAATGTGAGTGTGAGTGTGTGGCTCTGTAGTCATATGCATACTGTCCCACCCCAGAATCTGTACCCCTCCAGACGGTCCACTCACACAGATGACTCCGCCCTCTTCATGGTAAGAGCCAATCAGCTCGGATCATGCGTCACCCTCTGCCCCATCTCATTTCACTTGTGTTCACTTCCCTTAACAGATTTCACTATTAATCTTTGCATAATGTATTAACATGATTTAAGGTTATTTCTATTGGAAACTGCTTTTCTGATCTGTTTGAACTGCTGGCATCCTTTTAAAGTTGCACTCAGTAATGAAAAAGTTTACTCAAATAATGTAATTGTTCTCGTATGATTCAAATAATGTCTTCTAGTGGCTAGACTGTTTTATTATATTATGACCAGCCTTATCTTACTATTTACTATTAAAACTTGCTGTGTGCACCTTTAATATTAGATCGGCTTTTCCCAGCGAGCATCTTTAACACGCCTGCCCTGCTTCTTTTTGCTTCCCTGTCTGTTCTCTTCATCTTCTCTTCCTGTCTTTCTCTTTCTCTCTGTCATGTTGGTTCTCTGTCAGAGTGAGTTTGAGCCCCTACTGATATTTGAGATAGACACAGATACCAACACTATAAAGAAGAGGCCAGACCCTCACAAACAGGTGAAAGACACACAGACATGTTTAGCCAGCTGTCTAAATGGGGACTTGCCATACACTACTATTGATTAATGGTGTTTCACAATTAGTAGTGTTGCTCATGATTAGGGCCATTTAGTGATTTATAAACATTGACCCATACAATGTATTTTTGGCTATTGCTACAAATATACCCCAGCGACTTAAGACTGGTTTTGCGGTCCAGGGTCACATTTGTGTTATTTCCACTGATTTGCCCTTTTTATTTTTCTTCTTCCTTCGATAGCAAGGTGAAGATTATGCCTCGCTGTCACCCTCCGGTATGTGTTTGTTTAAATCAGACTTTTTCATCCTCTTTCCTGCTGTGTTATCATTAATCTCTTTGCCCCACATCACATTGTGACTTTTTGCTTGTCCGGCAGCCCTCCAATCCCCCACGTACCCCAGCCCCGCTGCCCCGTCCCCTTCCCGCGGCCCCAACCAGAGACCTGAGAGTTACCTGTTTCGCCTGAGTCAGCGAGAGGAGAAGAAAAAAGGTTTGTTCACCTGACGCAGCCGATTGCTGCTTTGTGCAACATTTGGGATGTCATGATTAAGCATATGATGCTTTATGAATAATCATATGATGCACATATTAAACATATGTGCACTGTGCAGAATGCACTATTAATGTGTGTTTGTGGATTGTATTACATATAAAATTACAGCAGAAATCAAAAAAGTTATTGTTATATTATTTGACTGCCCACTCCCACAATGAAGTGTTATAAATAAATGGCAGAAATCAATGTTGGTGTGTATATTTGAATATTTTGTAATAAACTCCTGAAGTATTGTGTTTTATCAGTTACTTGTAGTCAGTAGTTTTGCATTTTAATGTTTAATCGTTTTTTATAGCTGTTTCCTAACCCTCAGGAAAGAATTAAGGTACAAGGTGTTCTACCGTTGCCTCCTTTGTTTACAATTATTTTCATAGACTTTGCTTTGAATCTCATGTTGTGATGATGTCATTCATCGTTGGTTTGTCTTGAATTCTTAATTCTTAATTCAAATCCTTATGGAGAAAATGTGAGAAATGCCACAGGAACCAAAGTCTCTGAAAAAGTGCAGTGTTGTTATTGTTAACTAAATAATTGAGATTGATAATCGAAGTGCTCATTGAAATAAAGCAGAAATATAGATATTAGATGGAAAAACGTAGACTTGAAAACTTGAAATAAAGTTAAAATTGCTAAAAATTTCTAAAACAAACTGAAATAAATATGAATTAAAAGCTAAACAAATATAAAAAAAATATAAAAATAAATTAAACTAAAATTAAAATTGAAAAAAAAAAAAAATATATATATATATATATATATAGCTAATTCAAAATATTAATAAATATTGTAATAGTGCTACTTGGTGACATGCTCCTAATGGCATGCTCTTTTGCAGGAGAATCAGGCACACAGAAGGCGGAGCCAGTGGAAGCCACTCCCACACCGAGTCCCGCCCCAACCGGAGAGGAGGCGGTCCTGATAGAGCAGCTGAGAAGGGTGCGTCAAACTCCTTTAGTACCCTCCCCTTTCTGTTATCCATCATTTATGTGTCTATTATATTTATACATATATATACTTTTGTCATTTTAATGTACTTTTTATTATTATTATTATTACTATTGAAATATTTAGCTTTAATTGATATTTGTTGCAGTTTTAGTTTTTATTCAAATAATTGCCTTTTTTGTCGTATTTAAGTCTTATTTTGCATCCCTCCTGTAGAATATCGAGTGTCGACTCAAGGTGTCCTTACCCAGTGATCTTGGGGCAGCTTTGACTGACGGGGTCGTGTTGTGCCATCTGGCCAACCACGTGCGTCCCCGATCCATACCGAGCATCCATGTACCTTCACCAGCAGTGGTGGGTGACCTTTTTGGGTTTATTTTAGCCATTACTACATTTCTTAAGTTTTTGTGTATGTGTGAGTCTGTGCATAGAGGAGTACATTGGTGTCATGTTTTCTCTCTTTCCAGCCCAAACTGACGATGGCCAAGTGTCGACGAAATGTGGAGAACTTCCTAGAGGCGTGCCGCAGAATTGGAGTTCCTCAGGTATGTTTGGTCTCCTGCACTTCAGTCTTTATCTTTAAAACTAAATTAGAAGTAACTTCTCTGTTGCATGCTTGCTTCAAACATAACATCTCTTGCTGTTTCCTCTAGTGCCTCTAATACTACTAACTCTTTCTCTCTCTCCCTCTATTCCCTTCCGATTTAAACCATCTCACATCCCATCAACCCCTCGTTGTGTTTTATTTGAACACTCATGTTCCTCTTGCTCCTTGTCTCGGCCCTGCTGGCAGGATAGCTTGTGTTCAGCGGGTGACGTGCTGAAAGGGGAGGTGGTCTGTGTGTTCAGGCTGGTCCAGGCCTTGCTCTCCCTGGCACCACCTCCCCTTCACTCCGCCCCTTCTACCCAGCTGGCTGGATTTGCCCTTTTCTACCTGTCAATCATGTCGCTGCTATGTGCTCTCTACTGCCACCTGGTGCCAACCCATTAAATCGCTTTTCCATATTGATCACTGCATTAAAATAGCCAATTGTTTGTGTGTTTGAGCAGAATTACACAATAGGTGGTGTTTATGCGCACAGATATTACATTTATAGTGTTTTCTAGTGATACTTTGCTAAGCTCCGCCCCCTTTGTGTAATGTTGCCCATTTTTGACAAGCTTTGTATAATTGCATTCATGCAAATTTCAGTAAAGTGTGCTGCTAAAATGGGACAAATTGATTGAATGGTATTATTGCATAGACTGGAAAGAATTATGATGAAAGAATGTGCCATTTCTTTAAAGGTAATTAAATTGCACTACTGTTCAGTTTGAGGTAAAAGAAGATTACTTTTTTTATATTTTTGAAGGAAGACTTTTTTGCTCACCAAGGCTGCATTTATTTGATCAAAAATACAGTAATATTGTGAAATATTATTACAGTGTAAAATAGCTGTTTTCTATGTGAATATCTGTTAAACTGTAATTTATTCCTGTGATCAAAACTGAATTTTCAGCATCATTCCTCCAGTCTTCAGTGTCACATGATCTTCAGAAATCAGTATAATATGCTGATTTGCTGCTCAAGAAACATTTCTGATTATTATCAATGCTGAAAACAGTTGTGCTGCCGAATATTTTTGTGGAAACCATTTTATTTAAACTTTTCTTTATTTTGTGGAAACATTTTATTTTTCAGGATTCTCTGATGAATAGAACGTTCAAAAGAACAGTATTTTTAAAAACCGAAATCTTTTGTAACATTATAAATGTCTCTAATGTCATTTTTGATCAATATAATGCATGCTTGCTGAAAAATAACAACATCTTTCATTATCAAAGTCAACTGAAAAGACAAAAGTCTCCTTTGATGGTTGATAAACCGTAACAGTTGCTTAGGTGGGATTGGTCAGGGATTGGTAAGGCGGGGCTTAGTGAACAATCATTTGAGAGTGTTTATATGCGTGTTTGTGTGTGTGTAGAGAACACATTTCCATAGCAAAAATGGAAAGCTCCATCGAAAAGCACAAAGATGGCTGGATTCACCCATTCAGCCTTAAATAAGATGACAGAACAAGCTGCCTGCTCCGTGAGCGAGCCCTTTATTGTGCGTTAGTACTGCTGCACACTTTCCCAATGTTTGCCGAGGTGTTTGAGTACTTTGTGAAGCTTTGAGTTTCGGAGGGTTTGCATGAATTAAACTCTCCCAGATGTTCTTGAAAGAAGGAAATGAGACAGAGTGGTGGATGCCAAACCATAAACTCCCCCTTTGTGCCTTACTGTGTGTATGCCAATGTCTTCCACCTCACGGTTAGCACAACAGTTCACCCAAAAATAAAACTTACTCACCCTTCTGGCATTCCAGACCTGTACGAGTTGCTTTCTTCCATGAAACACAAAAGGAGAAATTTGGGCGTACCATCTGAGCTGCTCTTTTCCATACAGTTAAAGTGAGTATCTTGAGCAGCTTACGTTTTAAGTCTGTTTTCTCACACAGAATTATCATATGGCTTCAAAACGCTTGTAACATGCAAAAGTCATATGAACTCATTTACTTTCATTGGGCCTCATTCATGAAGATATGAGGACATTTGAAGCCATTTGTCTGTAAAATGGACCAAACACTTCATAAACCTCAGATTTGATAGTTAAACAGATTTTAATGAATTCCAGTTGTTTGTATCTAGGGTACATTTGTGGTCATTCATAATTAGCATAATCCCGCCCACAAATTACATTAACGTGAATTATGTGTTCAGGGACGCTGATCCTCTGGTTTGGCTTCAGTATATTGCATAAATTCTAAAGAAATCAATAAAAAAATTCTGAAATTATTCATTAAGATATAGACAAACACTGCTTGAGCTCAGAACAATTGTAATCCATAATAATAAAAAAATTTTTACTACAAAACTGTTTTTAATAATTTTTGGTTATCAATTAAATTTATTTTTACATTTAACTAATTGATTGATTATTTAAAACTGATGAATTTTCTTATAATTGTTATAACACTGTACAGCACAATAATATTTACATGCTTTTGTGCTTTTATCCAAAGTGACTTTTTATATTAATTTTATATTATTTTTTATGATAATGTTGTTGCAATGTTAAATGTTATTATGGTAAATAGTGTTATCAAAATGCAGTGTCATCCGTTTGCTTACAAAATTATTATTTTTTATACGTTATTTCATGCAAATATGAACTTTTATGCATCCAAAAACATCAGAACGCATAATTTACACACAAAATTCTGCTTGTGTTTCATTAAATGAGGTCCATTATGTGGAAAAAAGCAGCCAGGACTTTAAGCTAAATGTCTCCTTTTGTCCAGAAAGTAAAGCATACATGTTTTAAACGACTTCGGGTGTGTAAATAACATCAGAATTGTCATTTTTGGCTGAACTAAACCTTTAAATAGTTAGAAAACCACTTTTAACCCTGCAGTTATCAAGCATGTTGTCAGTCGTGCACCAGAACACAGTTTACTCACTGAAATAACAGCCCTCGTCAACAAGTACATGCCTGTTGTTAATAAATATACAGTGTAATATATTCCTAACACATGTAGGAAACGCAACACCGGTCGCAGAGAGTGTGTGAGCAGCGTTTTTGTCAGATTTGTGTGCCATATTGCCTGATTTTCCTACAGTCTGACTGTTGTCCTCCTCTGCTTTTCTACAATAAACTCTAAACTCATGTATCGGCTGTAGACGTGTGTTTTATCGCTAGTTTAGGCGTGTGTTTGAGTCTCAGAGTCACAGCTTTTTATTGGGTAGATAGATTTATCATTCATATTTTTAGCACAAACAGTACAGGACAATTTATAGGGGTTCGTTCAGATCACAATAACACAAAGCATGTGCAATAACAGCCACTACTAATACTTCAGTTCACTCACAGTGCCAGACTAGTTGACGTTGAATTTCTAGTTTGTGACAGGTTTTGAATGATTTTCCCATCTCCTCCTCTTCCATCTTTTTTTTCTTTTCTTTTTTTCTTCAAAGTTTCCAAAGGTCATGACTTTACTTTCGTCTTGATTGAAGTCCTTCATTAGTTGCACATTAGTTGTTTAATTGGAGTTCCTTCATTTTTTAAGGAATAGTTCACTCAGAAATTAAAATTTGCTGAAAAATGTACTCCCCCTCAGGCCATCCAAGCTGTAGATGAGTTTGATTCTTCATCAGATTTGGAGAAATGTAGCATTGCATCACTGTCTCAGCAATGGATGCTCTGCAGTGAATGGGTGCCGTCAGAATGAGAGTCCAAACAGCTGATAAAAACATCACAATAATCCACAAGTCATCCACACCACTCCAGTCCATCAGTTAACATCTTGTGAAGGGAAAGCTGTGTGTTTGTAAGAAACAAGTCCATCATTAAGATGTTTTAACTTTAAATTGTTGCTTTCAGCTCAAATACAAGTCCATTATATCCATAATAACGCTTCCTCCAGTGAGAAAGTGGCCTGGTCTTCAAAGTTTCCAAAGGTCATGACTTTACTTTCGTCTTGATTGAAGTCCTTCATTAGTTGCACATTAGTTGTTTAATTGGAGTTCCTTCATTTTTTAAGGAATAGTTCACTCAGAAATTAAAATTTGCTGAAAAATGTACTCCCCCTCAGGCCATCCAAGCTGTAGATGAGTTTGATTCTTCATCAGATTTGGAGAAATGTAGCATTGCATCACTGTCTCAGCAATGGATGCTCTGCAGTGAATGGGTGCCGTCAGAATGAGAGTCCAAACAGCTGATAAAAACATCACAATAATCCACAAGTCATCCTCACCACTCCAGTCCATCAGTTAACATCTTGTGAAGCCAAAAGCTGTGTGTTTGTAAGAAACAAGTCCATCATTAAGATGTTTTAACTTTAAATTGTTGCTTTCAGCTCAAATACAAGTCCATTATATCCATAATAACGCTTCCTCCAGTGAGAATGTGGTCTGGTCTGAATCAGGAGAGAAATCTGCACAGATCAAGCCAAATCAGCTCTAAACAAATATGTGGCTAGATTTTGATGTGAGAGACAACAGGAGATGGACTTTTTCACTGGAGGAAGCATTATTATGGATTATGGGCTCGTATTTTAGCCAAAACCGATGTTAAAACGCATTAATGAGGGATTTGTTTCCTACAAACATGCAGCTTTTGGCTTCTCCAGATGTTAACTGATGGACTGGAGTGGTGTGGATTACTGTGATGTTTTTATCAGCTGTTTGGACTCTCATTCTGACGGCACCCATTCACTGCAGAGCATCCATTGCTGAGACAGTGATGCAATGCTACATTTCTCCAAATCTGATGAAGAATCAAACTCATCTACAGCTTGGATGGCCTGTCCAGCTAAAATATGAGTCCATAATCCATAATAACGCTTCCTGCAGTGAAAAAGTGGCCTGGTCTGAATCAGGAGAGAAATCTGCACAGATCAAGCCAAATCAGCTCTAAACAAATATGTAGCTAGATTTTGATGTGAGAGACAACAGGAGATGGACTTTTTCACTGGAGGAAGCATTATTATGGATTATGGGCTCGTATTTTAGCCAAAAATTTAGCTTTTTTTTTTTTTTTTTAAAGCGATGTTAAAACGCATTAATGAGGGATTTGTTTCCTACAAACATGCAGCTTTTGGCTTCTCCAGATGTTAACTGATGGACTGGAGTGGTGTGGATTACTGTGATGTTTTTATCAGCTGTTTGGACTCTCATTCTGACGGCACCCATTCACTGCAGAGCATCCATTGCTGAGCAAGTGACGCAATGCTACATTTCTCCAAATCTGTTCTGATGAAGAAACAATGTTGAATTTGGCCTGAAACCTTCATTTTTGGGTGAAGAACTATTCCTTTGATCATTTCACCCATTCACTGCAGAGCATCCATTGCTGAGCAAGTGACGCAATGCTAAATTTCTCCAAATCTGTTCTGATGAAGAAACAATGTTGAATTTGGCCTGAAACCTTCATTTTTGGGTGAAGAACTATTCCTTTGGTCATTTAATTTTTTTAATTATGTTGATTTTATAATTTTGTTTCTCCATTGACACAACCTTTTCGTTCCTATTTTGTTCGCCCCTGCTGTGTGTGTGTGTGTGTGTGTGTGTTTACGGCCGCAGAGCCAGCTGTGTCTCCCTCTGCACATCCTGGAAGAGAGAGGTTTGCCTCAGGTGGCCGGGACGGTTCGTGCCCTCCTGGATCTGGCCCCTCCGAAACACACGCCCTCCCCCAGCACGACCCGGACCGGGCCCAGCACTGCCTCCCCCCTCGCCCTGTAGGACCGAGAGCTAAAGGAGTCTCCTCCCATCAGGCCCAAAGATCTTTAAGACTCCTTTCTGTTCTGTTCTTGAGTGACA